TATTAGAAGATACAGCTGGACTATCATTTCTCAATCTAATAAACTAAATGACCTGATGGAGTTTATTTATCTACTAAGAACCATGATAAGTTGATCGCATAACTAAGTAGAAGTTCATTCTCTAGTGTGTCCATGGTTATAAATTGGAATCACTTTGTCATTGTTCATGTGTGGTCAATCTGGCATAGATATGCAAATCTTTGCTTATTTTCAATGCCTAGTGCAATTTATCTGTCTACTGCAGGTTGTTCAGAAGGAAAGGGAAGAAAAGCTTGCAGCTATACTAAGAGATCGACTCTACAAATATGTACAAGGTAACAAAGATGAGTTTATTAATAATGCTGAAGCCGAAGTTTCAAGGCTCTCTAATGCAGGTAATATATCTGCACTTATATATAATAAAAAAAAAAATCCATACTTATAGTTAAAAATGAGTGTCAAAAAAATAAAAAAGGTTTCTTTTTCTATGATTGATTTTATTTTTTCCACTGTGTAGCTGCTGCTAAATCTTATGTCTTATAAAAGCAACCTTTGATTAGTCATATGCCTAAACATTAAGGAGCAGTTTTTTAAAAGTAAATTGACAACAATTACTGCCATTTAATGTAATGAAGTACTTAGTATTATTTGTTCAGTCGAAGCTCACAGAAGCTAGGATTTTTTCACGGTTGACAATTTTTCCCAAGTTTATGGGGGAACTTTAACCTAATTTGCAAGAGAGTCATTTACAGTTTTAATCTTCTAGTCTCAGTTTATTGGCAAAACTTTCTCTTCTGACTAGTTTTATCGCTGATTTCAACAGCCTATGGTGTTGACATGTTGAATACTATTGGTTATATATATGCAAGACAAGCTGCAAAAGAGCTTGGAAAGAAAGCAATTTATCTGGGGTTGCCATTCATTGCCGAATGGTTTAGAAACAAAGGCCACTATATCAAATCTCAAGTAACGGCAGCAACAGGTTAGTAGATATTGCTGCCTTTCAATTGACAGCAATCATTGTTGTGGGTAACCCTTTCGATCTTTATTGTTGTTACAAACCACATATTGGCAATATGGAGTGAAGTAGCACAAGTTCATCACTTTCTTGGGCAGCTCCCTGAGTCTCTCTCGCTTTGTGTCTTATCTGCCTTTTTTTTTTTTTTTAAATTTTAAATTTTTTTTTTTGGCATTTTTATTGCTGCTTTGTTGGAGACTCATTACAGTTCTTACAGACAAACGAGGGCTTGTGCAGGGAGTTTACTATGAGCTTTTACCGACTTTTTTGCTTCTAGTCATGCAGTATTAGGATGCTGATGTTGGTAAATATTGCTGGGTGGTGTCAGTAAAAAGTTGTTGCTTGTAGTAAGTAAAACAGTGGGGTAGGGCTGGAGTTAATTTTTTGTTCAAATTGTCACAACAAAAGAACTTAACTGCTTTAAGGAAAATTTATATAAGCTGATGAATTGTTCATTATTTCGAATTGTTGGTGGTGCTAGGTGCCATTGCTTTGATTCAGCTGCAAGAAGACATGAAAAAGCAGCTTAGTGCTGAAGGAAACTATACTGAGGAAGAGCTTGAAGAATACATACGATCCCACAAGAAATTGATGACAGATTCTCTGTGGAAGCTTAATGTAGCTGATATTGAAGCCACACTTTCCCGTGTTTGTCAAATGGTAGTTTTGCTAACTTTGAGTTATATATGGATTTTTAGCTTATATTATGGTAAATAGGCCTAGATTTTTGGTGATAATTATGAATAATTTATTTTAGGTCCTTCAAGATAACAATGCCAAAAAAGAAGATCTTCGTGCACAAGCAAAGGGATTGAAAACTCTTGGTAAAATCTTTCAGGTATTGTTTCTTGCTCTTTCATTCAGAATTCTCTGCATTTCCAACCGTTAGATTGTTGACTAAATGCCTAACTTGTTCGGGGACACAATGGCACCAATATAGAGGGCGAAGTCAACAAATGGAAGTGAGAATGAAACCGTATTAAGCAGTGGACACCAGAAACTGAATGGAAGTGAATCTGGCTATGATGCTTGTTCTCCTAATATGTCGCCAAAATCTTTAAATCATGAAGAACCATCTCAGTCTACATCTGTATCACAGGTAATTTCTTTCCCACTATTGATGTGTTCATTTTTTTCAGATATACAGTATAAACATCAATTTTTTAACTTCATTAGCTTCTATGGGACAAACGGGTAAAATATTGAATGAAAGTTTGTGAATCAAGGTAAAATGATATTGACATAGGAGACATTATGTAGGTGGACCTACTTTAGCCCCATGTATGTTGTAGACTAATCACTATTGGCAACAATCCTATGGATAATTAAGTGTCTTTTGTTTAGAAAAGAGAATGCTAAGAGAAATAGAAAGAACATATATAGTTACATTTTCTTTTCCCTTTTCTGGCCATTCTCTTCATTTTTTGTTTTCAGATATACAATATAAATGTGAATATTTTAACTTCATTAGCTTCTATAGGATGAACGGGTAAACATTGAATGAAAGTTTGTGAATCAAGATAAAATGATATTGATATAGGAGACATTATGTAGGTGGAGCTCCGTTAGCCCCATGTATGTTGTAGTCTAATCACTATTAGCTACAATCCTATGGATAATTAGGTGTCTTTTGTTTAGAAAAGAGAATGCCAAGAGAAATAGAAATTGGAGGACTCTTGTTGTGGTAAAGATCACCAACAATGATAGAATTATTTAACGTATTTGGGTTAATACATTTATGACATGAATATGTTTGACATGTTTAATGAACGGGTCATAGTGCTAGGGTTCACTCAAACGGTGCCTGTTTACAACAATTGCCATTCCTACCCAAAACATTATTGGATCTTAAAAGCTCAAAATTCAATATTTTATTATAATTCCATAAACGGTTTTCCAAAAGCAATTTTTCAAACATTATTGCATTGCTGTAAGCTTGTGTAGGTTGTGTTTCTAGCAGAAAAAGCAAAAGGCATGTGATATGATGATACCCTGAATTCGAAGTGCTAGTGCTTTGAAACTAATCTTTTGTCCATTAGCAAATTATCAGTTATATAAAAAATGAAGGTGTTTTTTTAAGGATCTGCTGTTATTAATTTTTAATATCCCCAATAAATAGCAAAATATTCCATTTATTGAATTGAGGGTGAGAAATAGGGAGAGCAGAAGAGATCAAAGGGAAAATTCATTATGATGCCAGCATACATGTTAAATGTGTCTTAGAGTGCTATAGAAATGGCGTGGATTTATTTTTTATGGGAACAAATGCATGTATATTTCCTCTTGTTCCCCCAAACGAAGTTGTGATGATGTAGTAACCGAGAACTAATCTCCTACATCTTAATTCTTATTTTGTTTATTTTTCCAAAAAGTGATTTCAAGTGCATGTATATATCCTCTTGTTCCCCAACTAAGTTGGGATGAGTGTAATACAGAGAAAGAATATCCTACATCTTAACTTCCTATTTGTTATTCAAGTGATTTAATATATATTTTTCCTCCATTTTCCTCATTACAATTGGATATCCTAGAGCCCGTATGTGGAAACCCCGAACTTCTCAGATGGTCAGATTAGCTCTAACTTTCCGATTCCAGCAGCACCACCTGGTGCACAAAGACATCCTTGAACAGGCAGGGAATGAAGATGAAGAAATGTGATATGATGAGTGATGCTTGTTTTGTATACCTACTATATGTATAATGTTATGGGTGTCAGTATGTATGGGCCTTGAGTTCGCATTTGTTGGATGCATCATTATGAGTAGATGGTCTGGAAAGCACATCCCACTTCGTTGTGTATGCTCATGGTGCATTTTACTGGAGATACATCCGTTTGAAATAGATAGGAGAGATTGTTGCAGAAGATAGTTCTTACCATGGTTTCTATCTGGCTGCCTTGCTATTTGAATTAGTATATCCTGTCACAGTTGGGTTTGCTTTCTGTGTGTGCGCATGGAGTGTGTTTCTGAGTCACAGGTGTACATTAAGATTAAAGTTTTTGATTATTGTGATATTTACTTGAAGATTCATGTATCATTAATAATATTCATGATATTGTAATGTAGTTTGTGCATGGAGCTACTTTTTGATGTATGCTTAGTCTCAAATAGAAGGATGCCCATAGAAATTGAGATGGAGTGGGTTGAGAAAAATTTACAAAGCCAACTTGCAATTTTACTATATGTGAAAGAAAGTATATACTAAAATTGGTTAGAAGGAAGAGATACATTTCCCATAACTTTTTACAAATAACTTCTGTAGTTCTGTTTCTAGTGTTTTAATCTCTCTTCCTAATTTTTAAGATGGGGTTTAATAAAACTCATAATTTTGATTCTCAGTATTTCTATTCTATGATATATGTTTAGCAAAGTCCATTAAGCACTTATTAAAAAATAGTGGTTGGTTTTAAGGTGTGATAAGAAAATGGTGATATTAAAATACGAGAAAGACTATATAATTTTTTATTGTGTATTTTGGAAATATATAAAATAAACTTGAGATTAATTGGACAGTGATACTTTATCATATTTGGGGGGGGAGGGGGAGTACAGAGTCCTTGGGCCCAAATATAGTTGGTGGGTTGAGAAGTCAAATAAGGCAACGGATATTACATAGTAAGTAAGGGTGAGTTGAACGCGCAAAACATAAACAAAGAAAATTCTCGTGACAAATGAGAAATCTTGAATTCCTTCAAAATCGTTCATCGTTGCATACTGAAGGAGTTTTTACTTGATTGTTTTCACACCTTCCAAATTTTCAGGTAATTTTTCTATCGAATTGTTCACAAGGGATCAAGTAATAAAAATTCTTAGCAAGAAAATATAAAAAATGTGAATTTGTAAAAAATGTTTTTTTTAGTAATAAATTACTTTTTTCTCCATGTAGTAAGAGTACAGTTTAGAATTAGGGACAAGCACATTTTAAGTGTCAACCCAACCACATAGGAAAAAGCATGGAAGAAGAGAACAAATCTAAAACGGGGATTGGAGCCTGGAGGTATACAAATTTTGACTGATTAAGAGAGATAATAGAAAGTGAAAGTGAAGGCGAAGGTTGAGAAGAACGACGGGGGCCTTTAGGATAGAGTTGTGGTTGCTGTGCCTTCCTTGCCGGTGCCTTCATTTTCCTTTCCATCCTCTTTCTCTCACCTATCTTCCAACGGATCTCCTCTCTTTTCCTTGTTTTGTTTGTTTCATTACATTCTCTTTGTTGTAGGCAGAGACGTATTCCCAGAACTCCTGAATTTACTCACCATCCATCAATATAATCTAAATCTAAACAAGAGAAGCAAATTCATCATTCAAATCACAGCTTGGAATTGAGATCTCAATGGAAAGCGAGAAGAAACCGTCGGCGGTGTCAGATGTGGGAGCGTGGGCCATGAACGTCATAAGCTCCGTTGGAATTATCATGGCCAACAAGCAGCTCATGTCCTCCTCCGGTTACGCTTTCAGCTTTGGTCTGTCTCCTCTTCTCTCCCCGATCTGATCTCATTTTTTCTTTATATATACATCTATCCTCATCAATTATACCGTTAAATCTTCTTGTTAAATAACTTTTAATCCGAGATCTTTATGGATCCATAAGACGAATGCCAAATTATCATAAGTTAGTTAAACGAACATTTAATACCGAATTTCAATTATGATTTTCATACCATTAATTAATATTATTGTGTTGCTTTTATTTTCAGCCACAACATTAACGGGGTTCCACTTCACTGTAACGGCTTTGGTGGGTTTGGTGTCGAATGCAACTGGATTGTCCGCATCTAAGTATGTTCCTATGTGGGAGCTTCTCTGGTTCTCTGTTGTGGCCAATATGTCTATTGCCGGCATGAACTTTAGTCTGATGCTCAATTCTGTTGGGTTCTACCAAGTACGAGTTTTACATTCTAATCCCAATTCTACTATTCCCTAGAAAATGATTATGTATGCTGATTAACTCTGTTTATTTTTTTTTATCTCAGATCTCCAAATTGAGTATGATTCCTGTGGTCTGTGTCATGGAATGGATTATTAACAATAAACACTACTCAAGAAAAGTGAAAATGTCTGTTGTCGTTGTTGTTATTGGTGTGGGTGTTTGCACCGTCACTGATGTCAAAGTTAATGCCAAAGGTTTTCTTTGTGCCTGTGTAGCCGTCTTCTGTACATCTTTGCAGCAAATTGTGAGTACTTTTTGATTATATTATTATTATATCCACTGGATTGGCATTTGGTTTTTTAGACCCGTGATTCCATAAATTTGCTTGTTATATCTTATTGGTTCCTTTCATGATGTTTTTCCAGTTTCTATGAAGCAATATGTTATGTTCGTTAATTATAATTAAGGTAAACTAATTGACTCATGTGGTGATTTGAGGTATTATGAATTAGTACATGTAATCGAATCACAAATTGTTTGGCTGTATATAAGTTCTGCTGAGTGAGAGCTGAGAAGTGGATCGCACCTATAAATGTGTTAGGTGGTGTTTGTTTTTTATTTTTGGTCTGCTGTTTGAATGCATAAATTTCAATGATATGTGTGTCTTTATTTTCTCATGTATAAGTTTGTTTATCTCCTAGAGAAGAAATATCTGTAAACTAATAATTTAACATTCCTCGTGAACATAGTGTTATTTGTATTTTTCCTATCAAAATAATTA